GCTCTGGGTCTAGGTCAAGGCCACCAGATTTGCCTTCAGCAGTTGTTAAAGTGACCCAGGGATTTCAAAAGTACACACAAAGTATCCATGTACATGTGTGCAGACTTGTGTGTTAGAGGGGTGAGGGGGAGAGTTAGTCTGTAGGTCCAAGTAAGATACTCAAGTGTTCCACACGATGAATAAAAATAGACAAGCCTCACTCCCAAAACTAATTTTGTTACAATTCCAGGAATGCTTTCCCTGTGTTTAAAAAAAAAAAAATTCACATCCATCTCCCTTGTATCACGGGTCTTGCTGAATTTAAGGGCTAAAAGACAAAAACTGAAAGCCTATGCAAACAATTATTTCCCCAAAGAGTGACTAAGTCGTATATTTATTAAAATTTGTGGGGTTAAATCTTAGGGGAGGTTTCAGTCTTACTAATGGAGCTTAGATCAGCCAGGAAAAAATGACCATGTAACTTAGGCTTCAGCCATCATCTTGTTTGAGTGGGGTCTGGGGATACCTGCCCATGAGGCCTTAAGCCAAATACGAGAGGCCATTGATGATTGACTCAGTTGTTACTGTTATTTCCTCTTTCTTGTTGAACATAAATAATGAAATCCTAATGCTAGAAGAAACTTTGAAGAGCTAAGCTAGTCCACACTCATTTTGCAGATGAGGAATCCAAGGTCAAGAAAAACAAGTGGCTGATGAGTCTAAGAGCTGTGACTACGACCTCTAGGACCATGCTTTTGTCCCATCAGCGCACTGGCTACCTGGGAGGCCATTGGAGGATGCCCACTTTGAGGAGAAATAACAGTGATCCAGCCTAGAGTCATGGCTGAGTCAGTTGGACATTTTTTCTCCCCTCCTAAGCTCCTGTTTTTATTAATAATGCCCATAAAGAAATTACTTTCTGAAGCAGGCTGTTTTCATTCCATCAACAAGGCAATGTATGGAACTGAGAACACTTATATATTGCATCATTTGTAAATAGGCCAGATAGTGGATTTATTGGGCATGTGTGTAATTTTACAATCAGCTTCACCAGTATTTAGTTCAAAATTGGACAGAATACTGTGACTTGATCAAGTTGTTGGTATACAGAGGAGGTATAGGGCTTTGGTGGCAAGCCTGGTGTTAGTTTTGAATATAGCACTTAGGACTCTTGGCTACCTACTTCTTGGCTCACTTGCTTCTTGGGATAGTAGTACTGATACTAGGATTGTTGTGACAATTAAATTGGGAAATAAATATAAACCCTTAGCATAGATCTTTAAAGAAATACTGAGATCGTCTTATGTGCCTCTCACTGGCATACAGGGTATATGCACTGTTTATTCATCATGGATTCTAGCAGTCTAATTGGGGAACAGACCTAAAACAACTGATAAATAATTGTAACTGAAAATTACATAGAAGAACTGCATGCTAGAAAAACCTGAATCTCCCAGAATCAACGTAGAAAGCTTGCTTGATGAGGTAACGTTAAAACCAAACCTGAAGGATAAAGAATTTCCCGGGGCACCAAGGAACACTAATGGAGCAATATGTGCAAAGGTCCTGAGTTGGAAGGGACATGAGGGGAACCGAAGACTTAAGATGAGGGGGAAAATGATACAAAATAAGCTTGGAAAAGGGAAGAGGAGTCAGATTGTAGGTGTTTTGAACTGTATAACTGTATCATGAGTAGTGAGAAGCTGTCCAAAGGGTTTAACCATGGGATTGATGTGAACAGGTGTGGATTTCAGGATGATCACTTCTCCTACTGTGTGGAGGCAACTGAGCAGGCCAGTAATGGACACAAACAGTTGAGTTAGGAGGCCCTTCTCGAAGTTGTCCAGGTGGTCACGGTGGAGGTGGCGAGTTGGCCAGTTATGGAAAGAAGTGGACATACTTGAGAACTATTTTACGGATGGAATTGACAGGCTTTGTAGATTAGGATTAGGAGAGAGGAAAAAGAAGTGCTTATGGAAGACTCCAGATACTTAGTCTGTAGAAGTACTCAAATGTTTTCAATTGCTACTACAACTTTTATTTTACCAACACTTCCATAGTATATCAGACCTTAAGACCGCATGTGATTTTGACTGGGAGGAATTCAAAGCCTCAGTAGTCAGTTGGTGACCATTAGTATTCTGAATTTTTATTTACTAAACACTTGAGAGCCCTGGGTGCTTTCTGTTCTCACTTATAGACAAGGAAATTGAGGCACAGAGACATTAAGTAACTTGCTCAATTAATAATAGTAGAGCCAGAATTGGAACCCAGACATTCTGTCTTTGGGGCCCATGTTATCTGGCCATTTTCATTCCTCAAAGCAACCTTTGAAAAAGGCATTTTGATGTTTTGACCTCTATATCTCTACTAAATATTAACATCTATCTCCTCCCTCCACCACCCCACCCTAAACTCATCCAACCCCGTGTAAAGGAATAAAATAGAGTTGATCTGATAGTCACCCTTATTGATTGCCCTTCTGGTTGAACTGAAAACCTGGCTTTAAATTTAATTTTTTTTAATCCTTGCAAATGTGTAGAATGACTAAAATTTTTAAAAATGGTTTCTTCCATGCATAGTACATTTTTCTTATTTTCTAGACTGATTACATAGGCTTTGTCCTCTAAACATTACTACAGTCATACTGTAAAAATATGAAGGCAGTAAAATGGAAGAGTACATATACCTTTGCAGTATAGATCTAGCCACATATGTTTTATTTGGAGAGAAAACATTTATGAGTATTCTGCAGAAACATTTATATGCCTATAAATAACATTGCTAGGTTACTTTGCTTAGCGTGAACATTTGAGGCCTTTTTTTGCAGTCAATTTATTATGTCTGTGTGAGGATTAAAGACGGTAACAATGATATAATCTGCCTGTTGGATTATAAATTTCCAAAGCTGTGTTTTGCGTATGAGTGCAGCAATTTCTGGAAGGCTGTTCCTTTCCTGGGGTACCTGCCTATTGTCAGCTTTAAAGAATCAAAGCAAATTAAACATGGCTGGTCTGTTCCATAACTGTGTCTTTTTCAAAGTTGGGGCCTGTCTCCTTTCTCTGGAAAATTCTCACTTGAGTTGTCCTGAACATAACCACTAATAGACTGTTGAGCATTTGCATAGAGCTTTTCATTTTCAGGATTTCACAATCATTGCCTTTTAATCCATATGACACCCCCGTGAGGTAGGTAGATAGATACATTCAAACATCCAAGTCTCCTGCAGGCAGATTCTCAGTGCCAGGAGGAATATTGTGATTGGCACTGACTTACCTTAATTTCCCAGAGGCCAGACACCTGGAGAGGCTTTTCTGCAGGCCCAGGTACATTCCGGTGCTTCAGCCACATGGGGCTGCCTCCTCATTCCTTCTGCTATTTTACTAAGATTCAGTAACTACATGCACCATTAACCATAAAACTGTGGTGACTGTGTCAATCTGCATAAAACCCCATACAGGAGGGTATGTTTTAGAAGATTGTTAGAGGGCCTAATGAACATTTACATTCTATACAACGAACTTCAACTAGTGTCTACTTCTGTCACTCAAACAGGGTTCTTTTCATTCAGTGGTAATATCTGTAGCTCCAAGTAACTATTTAGATTAATAAATAAGCCCCCAGGATTTCTCTTAAAGTCTATAATATATTCAGAAGGTATGCACAGCTAGTGATTAAATCATCAATACAGAATCATTTGATATAGAATTATAGCAGTCATATGTTGTATGCTTATTTATATCAGGTACTGTGATAAAGATAATACATTGTATCATTTTGTAACAACTCCATGAGGTAGATGCTATCATTCCCATTTGAGAGATGATGAAAGTAGTAGGTTGCCCACAGTTCACTTACTTAAACCTAGTTTCTTCAGACTCCAAAGTTACTTCTTAACCATTAATTGATACTCCTTGCCTAAGGTGAAAGATACTATATAAAATTTGAAAGTGCTAGGACAACATATAACAAAACAGTGGTATTAATAGGGTAGAATATAAAAAGGTACATATTGACTTTCATTTTTAAAGAGTAAAGCAAAACCATGTAAAGGAATTGTTCTTATATATGTCACACTGTATATTTTTTTTTACCTGTTCAGGTACCTGTCATAACTTTATAACTTGAAAAGTATTTTTATATCTTTTACTCTAATTTCTTGAAAAGGAATGATGATTTATAACTGCCCATACTAATGTTTAAAACCTTAGATTAATTGGGTGGTTAGAAATTACTGAATAGGTTAACTTTTAAAAATTAGTAGAACTTTGATTTGCAAAAGTACTTGTACATAGCAAAACATTCAAATGAAAGAAAAGAATCCTCTATTTAAGCCTTCTTGATTTCCAGTTGCCTCAAGAATCATCACTAGTTTGTTTCTTATGGATCCTGTCAGAAATAAGTGTATTTGTTGGCGTATGTGCATATGTGTATATATATGTTGCACCTGATAAGATTATATACTTAAACCTGTGAACCAAATATGTTGAAGTCAATCATGACTTGAATGATGATAGGTCCTAAATGATAAAAAATTTATATTCTGAATAGATTTTAATAGAAATCGTTTATTGCATGTATTATAAAATAGTTACCTATGCATAGATGATTACAACTGCACTTTTAAGAAAAATATTTACATACTATTAACCATGTCTTAAAACTCTGACATAAATACTATGTAATTCTAATATAAGATTGTTATAATTTAGGTACCTTCATCTGTAGAGTTGCTGAGTTATATATGAGAGAAAATTTAGGAGTTAGATACAAAGGTCCCAGTAGATCCAATATTTCTTTGAAGTTTCTCTGCACTTCCAAATGTCTTTATTATAATTGATAAAATTTACAAGTGATGTAATATACTTAAAAATAGGGTAGTATTGTGAAGAAAAAGTTTTATTTCACTACAATACTCAACTGTATTTTGAAAATTTGAAGAGGATACTGTGTCATCATTTTATCTGGAATTGTAAGTTAAATTGCTAATTCCTTTTTTTGTTTTCGTTTTCTAATTTTAGGTTTCAGTATAAAAGCAGTGCCATTCCAGAATGCCATCTTGAATGTAAAGGAACTTGGAGGTATAACATTTAAAATCCTTTCTATGCCTGGCTTAAGCCTGTACTAATTTGATATTGATGTTACATGTAGTTAAAACATTATTATTCTAGTAAGTGATTTATTTTTGCCTTTTACCTTGGTAATAGGGATATTTCTTTATATATATGTTAAAGGTTGTCAAAGAATTCTAATAAACTTTTTTTCTAATTTGAGAACCATACTATTCTATCTCATATGCTATATACTCTTCAGTTTCACTTGTTCAAAAAATTTATTCCTGATTCAGAAGTATGAAGAGTGTTTTAATGTAATAGACACGCCATACATTATGCAGGGTGAAGAACTGTGTTTTAGAGTAGTTTGTATTCCTACTGCAGGTTTTATTGTATTAGATCTTTTTAGAATGTATTTGTTCTGATAATAAATCTTTGCCAGTGGGTTCTTTGCTGGTCAGGCACATTTATTGGATAGGCTGTACCCCAAACTATACATCACTCAGTCTTTCATTACACTCTCTGTCTGGGATTTTTTTTTATTGTGTTTTATGTCAGTCAGGGTCTTAACCCATGTAAATAGGTTAACAAAGAAATCAGTCAATTCAGTGAACCTACTAAATTCTCTAATGGCACAGGAAAATGGTAAGTGCTCTGAAGTTAAGTATAATATTGGTGAGTTTAATGACTTAGAAGGAAGTTCTCTTCCATCTCTTTAATCACTTTGTGATATTGACCTTGCCCCCCTCACTCTTTTCTAAGTTCATTCTAACTGATTTACTTTTAACTTCATGCATTGAAACACAAACTTTATGCTATTTTAATAGTGTTTAATGGCTTCTTATTTTTATCTCTTAATGTATTAGTGGATCTTCTCAGATGTTTGAGAAAGCTGTATCTAGGACAAGTTTACTTCTGTCCATCTGTTTTATAGCTACCTTTACTTTTTATAGCATCAATATTCAAATCAATCATGGTTGATAAATTCTGGTTTTCCTTTAAGGCATTTGGTTTTGTCATTTAGACTACAGAAATTATAAAACATGAGTGTTCCTGTAATGGAGACATTTTTCTATGTAAAAATTTTCCAAAGACTGCTCTTTTAGGTTGAATATTTTGATATTACTTTGTGGTGTCTAGTAACTGCTTCTCAGTGACCATGGTATTAGAGAACATATTGTAAAAGTCCACGGAATCAAAATGTATGGTTTGAGAATTCTGTTGGTTTTAAATGTAGCTGACACATAGTTAGGATTTTATGACTAGGCCAGACAGAGAACTTTTATTGAACCCCCTCCAGGTGTAAGAAACTGCTGATTAATTGATAAGCTATTTATTACAAATGTTAGTTGGATGATGCAAATAGTGAATGTGTCTAGACAATTGAAGTGAACACTTCAGGGAATTTTTGTAGCCCTGATTCTGTGCCGCTGTGAGATTGAAATTCAGTACGATGAGAGAAGAATTCAAGGACGGGGAGTTTGTAAGGTGGGAGTCTGTCTCTTCCCACGCATGGTTTGATTTTACTAGAGTGGGGGGCGGGGAGGAGCTGCACTGACAGTTGCAGTAATGGACATGGCAATGGAGAGGGTACCATAGAGTTTGGTGATAACATTTTAGTTTTTACCTCTTCTGTGATGACTTGAGATGTAGGTAAAAGATAAAGCTTTCAAGTTTGGGACAAGTATGTAAGTTTCAGGCTAATGATTATATGGTGTTTGGCATATGATAATCTACCCCCTTAATTTCAATAGTCCTATTTTCAGTTGAGAGGCTGTCTCAAGAAGGTGATTTTCTGAGTAGAATCTAATTTGTATCCTGTATTGAATGCTCAGAGGCAAACTATGGAGGGAGTTTGATGGTGCGTTCAGTAAGTGCTTTATTTAACAAATATGTCTTTGAGGGCCCACTCTGCCTGGAAAAGGACTGGGCCCTAGGCTGTGTCTCACCCAAGAACGTAGGAAAAGCAAACTACATGGGAAGAATGTAGTTTTCCTAGGATTTACAGTATCTCTTCTGTAGTAAGCAGCTCATCCCAATATGAGGTATATATGTGGCATTTATGGAGACTTGTGACCAACTGAAATCAGGTTGCTTGCCTGAAAATTTCTAAGTTTAGGAGGAAAGAGTGGGAGTGTTTCAGGATTTAATGTGTGAAGATACCAAACCTTTATGTACCAATAGAGGATTTCTCAGCAGTTGGATCAGGTTGTTAATCAAGGGATACATTCAAGAAGATAGATGTAAGACCGCAATCCCGAGTGCCGCGACATCGCTGGTGTGTGGAATGCTCAGGTAGTTCTGCTTACTGGGGGGTTATTTCAAGAGTTTGGCATGGCCCTGCTCCTCCCTGCCAACTCACATCACCCCCATTCTCAGACTTAAGTTGAATTTCTTACCTCTTCAAAATAAGAAGAGGCATGAACTTGGGCTCCTTATCTATTAAGCAGAAATGGTATGAAATGAAATAACAATGACCGGGGGAGTTAAGTGAAACTTCATTTCACAACTGATAGATGTCCGTGTATGTGCATATATATAATTTATATGTAAAACACATACATAGTTCTCTGTTCTCATCAGTTTTCTCTTTTCTGAGGGTGTTTCCTAAATCTTTCACCTAACTGAATTCTACTTCTGAAACCAATATTGCACTGTATATTAACTAACATTTAAATTTAAAAAATATATAAACTCAAAAAAATTCTCAAAATTCTCATTCACCTACATTTTTCTCATGTGGTCTTTTCCTACCATTCACGCAATCATTCTAGCACAATTGTATATCAAACCTGATTCTAGGAGCTGAGAATAAAAGATATTTAAAATACACCCCCTCCCCATCTTCAATAAATTCCTGATTTGGGGTTGTGGAGACATTTCATGAAAATAAATATTTGAAATTGCAGCTGCTTTTCATCATTTATTTTCTGTCTCTGACTCTCTTCAGTCGAGCTCTTGTTCACTCAAGGTTCTGAGTCCAGTGCTGTAGTCCTGCTTGCCTCTTGATCTCTTCAGGACTCACTTCTGAATCAGTCTTTCCAATCTATCTAGAGTCTTCCACAAATCCATCATCTTCATATTCTTTTATTCTTTTTAGTTCATGTATTCAACAACTATTTATCAAGTACTTGTATGTCCAGGCTGAGTTCTAGAGACTGGTGGTTATAGCATCAAGACAAGCACAGTCCTTGCATAGACAGCTAATAGACACAAGGGGAGACTCTGGTATACTTCTCTCCTTGATTAAAGCCAAATATTCCTACTTACAGGCCTGGAACTTTCTAGGTAAATCCCTTCAGTACTTGCAGGGATTTTAAATGCCATCCAGAAGAGCTCTTCCGATCTCTACAAAGGCCATTCTGTAGTATTACTTAGTGGATTTGTTCTTCTTGAAAATTCTTCCATTTGGGAAGCTTTTGTTGAAACTAACCTAAATCCTTTTTTAGTTTTAATTAATTACCCTGCTTGTCTTGTGATAAATATTATTCTGGTAGTTGTGCAGGACACCTAACAGGATCCTCAATTGACAGAAAGCTGCACCTTTGAATGAATTTCCCTTATTCCTAGTAGAGGAAGCCCAGCCACTCTATATGATTCTAGGCAAGTCTGTTTTCCTGTATCTTGGTTTCTGTATCTGTAAAATGTAGTACTAATAGTTCCTGCATTACATGATCGTTGTGAGGACTAAATTAACATAGGTCAAGTACTTAGAGATTGCCTGGCCCATAGCTAACATTTTTGGAAGATTTACATCATAATTATACCGTTGCCCCTCCAGGCCCCCCCCCCCAAAAACACCTTTCAACAAAACCTTTCCCCCACGGTCTCTAGAAATCGCCCAAATTACATATTGATTGCTTTTTCTCTTTGCGGTCATGCTTCTCTCCCTCGTGGACGAGATGATCTTGTTCTTCATTTTGTTACACCTGTTTAAACTGAAAAGTCACAGGGAAGGGACCTCCTTGGAATCTTTTGGTTAGCTGCCTAGCGTATTTTTTGGCAGTGCACACGTGTTAATATTAGATGTTTTTGTCCCATCTACCTTATCCTTCATTTTCTCTGTTTTCAGTTTCCACCTGCAAAATCTCTTCTATCCCAATGCCTCTGAGTTGCTTCCATTCTGTTTGGCTTGTGTATCTAAACCACATTACTAAGGTAAATGAAGCATCCGGCATTTAGCTGAATGGGAAGCACCAGCCCCATTGCAGCAACCTTACATGTAGCTCTGGTGAGTTTTCATTTTAGACATTTCCAGTCCTGAAATCTACAGGCTTTTAGGCATTCATAGAGGTTTTTCTCTTGGTTTTGAAATTTCATTTGCAAATTGATAGGACCCAGAGAGGACAATTTCATTTCTTAACACGTTTGACTTGTTACCATTTATTGATAAGGATCCAGACCTCTTAATACTCCTTTTGCTTTCCTTAACTGCATTCTGGAACAACGATTGGCCTTGTCAAATGCCTTGTTTTCTTCCTCTGATATTCTAATGAGCTCTGTCTGCCTTGCTTCCCCACCCTGTAAACTGTTTGGCAGTCTTGTCTTCCCAGTTGATACTGGAAAAGACGAAAGCTAAAAAGCAGTGAGCTGTCTTGTATGCCTCAGTATTGGCCGCTACTTGTCAATCAGAAGGAAAGTTCATGAAGGTTTTTGTTTGCACTTTCTTTTTCTCCCTCTAAAAATGAGATGACTTTCCTTTTTCAGGAAGTGGTGAGGGTAGTGTGGAACAGTGCAAGTTGTGTTCATTTACCCATTTACTTCAGCCCATGCAATGGTGATTGATTTTTGAGGATTGTCAGCTAAGCCATTTTTTAAAAGGTTGCTTCTTTCAGCAGCCAAGCTGTTATATGAAACAGATGTTGACTCTGTCCTGTTTCTTTGTTTGCCTGAAGGAATACACCGCCTCCTCATAGAGAAAGGTGCTGGTTCTTTGTATCCTGCTATGTATCCTGCTAGTTATCTTTGGGTGCTGTTAATCTGTCCAGGTTGTGTGCATTTCTTAATTTCGCCAGACACTGTACGGA